ATACCCCCCTTCTCTGTTTTATTAAAAGACTGGGAACCAGGGGGAGCTGTGCCTGTCTTAGGTTGGAGCCATTATGGCCGAATGATTCCTCGATTACCCGTCATTGGAACAACCCATAGCAGGGATGGGTGTCCTGTCTTAGGTGGAGGAACAGGCAAGTTTGGCCAGACTCTCACACCCGTCATTGGCTAGCCAGCTCAGTGCCTCTGATTAATGGATGAATAATTTTCAAAATCATCCATCTCTAGTCTGGTATAATGGACCTGAATAGGTCGAGAAAGGAGGGATGTTACTTGTTGGCTGATGAATGACTTCAATTTTTGAAAAATGACCGGACCTAGAGAGCAGACAATTAACAGGCCAACGACTGGTCCAAGAAGAGGGAGTATAAAAGGTAGGATCCCATTCCAAACAGTTAGAAGGGAGTTGTCAGCCAGTTGTCGTCTGTGGTTCCTAGGGCTTCTTGTAGGTCATGGATCTTATTGCGGACATTGCCAGACTTGTTGGCGTAAAAGCAGCACCATTCCTGCAAAGCAAGACAAAGACCTCTCTGCTCTGCAAGTAAGAGGTCCAAACCCCTGCAATTTTGTAGAACCACCTCTGTGAGGGAATCTAGCTGATTCTGGATGAAGGAGATAGTGGATGCAAGCTGCTGGACATCAGAGATCAATCTTTTTGTGACCTGTTTAAGTTGAAGGGAATAACCCAGGCCTGTGGAGCCCGCAGTGGCAGCTACAGTGAATCCCAAGGTGGTGAAGATAGGGATAAGTTGGACAGCTCACTTGGATCTTCCTGCAATAAAATCAAGGGATGGAATGGGGACTGGTTTCCTTAAATAATCTCAATTTCTGGGAGAAGAGTAGCAAGAGAGTAAGAGCCGGTCTAAGCTAAAATTGAAGTATTATATTCTATAAGAGAAAGAAAAGTTAGGGTCTACGCATCACGATGGTAGTTATCATAACGAGGGAAGTGGCTGTCCTGTGGTTGAAGGAGAATCTGCAACTTGAATTATAGGAGAAAGAGTAACACAAAATGGAAGAGGCTTAACACCATAGGCTGAAAAGCAAAGGGGGAGTGATTCTGTAGAAGCTGAAAAATTAAAGAGAGTTGAGACGCAAGGCTGTTCATATCCAAGAGGATCTTCCCCCATTAGTTTATAATGATTAATGGTTACAACTATTTTATCACCATCCCAAGCAAATTCACGAGGGTAAGGTGTAGTGGGTTCAGATGGGGGAGGAGGGGAAGGGGAAGGGTTTAATAATGTAAAAGCAAAAGCACAGTACCGAAGCAGGAAAAGCAGGTTAATCCTTTTTTAGGGTAGGTTCTGTCTCCACCTAAACATAATAGAATTTTAATGGTCTTTATAGCTCAGGGCAAGGGGTCTGGCTGATGATCATATCACTAAGAAACATAAAGACAATAGGAATGTTAATTACTGTTTACTCTTAGGCACAGAGAAGTCAAGTTTCTAGTCACAGGAATCTAGGAGTATGGTCGTGTCTGGTATACTTGGGCTTTAGGTCTAGACGCAATTAACATGTAATATTTAAAGGCCTTTATTCTGTGGGAGACATATTGGGTAAGGAAAACTGAGTAAATTAGAGCAAAAAACAAAATTAGAAGCACGGTGAATAGAGCACTTAACAGGAGCAAGGACCAAGGAGCCTACTGGTAGCAGAGGCCACTCTAAGCGTCTAATGACTCAGCAGCAGCCTGGCCTTTCTCCAACCATCTGGTCATGGAGCTGCTCCTCCACACTCTTGACAATGTCCAACTTGCAATTAGCCTCTGGAGTGACTAGAGCAGGGCTGTCGCTTTTTGGTTTTTGAAGCACTATTAGAAAGGACCCTCCAAGCCCATCCTTACAGACCAAGGCCCCTGTGAGAACAGTTTACTTGGTTTTGGTGTGACAGACTCGCAGGTTAACTTTACAACTATGTGAGGCCCCATCTGGGCTAGTTGGAGGGGCTTTTTTTCTTTTAGTTGTTTTATTGTATATAATATTTAAAGATAGAAAAACTAGCTCCAGAACCCTTCTTTCAGTTTTTATCTCTTTTTTGTTTGTTTTTATTTTTTACAAGTTTAAAATTAAAAATTGCCTTAATTTAGCAGACAAGTTTATTGTTTTAAGTTATTAATAGAAACAAGACTATTTAAGTTTTTTTTTTGAAGCCAGCTTATTTACTAAAGTTATATAAACTTGAGAAATATTTAGATTCATTTTTATGAGCCAAATTGAATAGAATGCTTTAAGGCCTGTTTTTACACAGACATACAACATATAGTATGTAACATGACATATTACATGCATACATACACACACACACACACACACACACACACACACA